GTTCACTCTAACCTGAGGACGCTCCTTCCACGGTCACTGAGACGAGGGGGGATGTACAAGTCTGATGTGGTGAGAAGCAACTCCATGTCAACTCAGTACACCACAGACAACCGCTCCATCTACACCAAGAACGTTGGCAGCCACGTCGACGACAAAGGGAGTTACATCCCCCTCACCGCCATGAACGAAGACCAAGCTAATGGCAGGTGCAACGGAAAGCACTGAAAATGGTGATGCGGTATTTTGGATGGTGGAGGAGGAGGAGGAGGAGGTTCAGGAGAAAATCCTGAAGAACAAGTAGACGAAGGATGGACAAGAGAATTACAGGATGATGTTGAAAGAGTGAAAAGGTTAACTGTGAATTGAACATGATCTTGTTGAAAGGAGGCAAAATTGTTGTTGAAACTGAAACGAATAGTTTGGAATTGAATTTGATCTTGTCGAAAGAAGGCGGTTGATTGTTGAAGATGAAAAGGAGAGTTAAAATGAAGAGGTTTATGTTGAAAGAAATCAAAATGAATATTGAAGCTGGGGGGATAGCTTTGAATTGAACATGATCGTGCTGAACGAAGTCGAAACGACTGGAAAACGTAGCTCGTTGTAAATCGTGATGTGGACGCTCATCATAGGGGGCACTGGGGCACTGGGGCACTGCAGTGACACGGTGACAGAGGATTGTTTAAACACCAGCTACGAAGGGACCTTTGTAAGTTTTGAAAAGTCAAATACAAAGGTGGTTGTGGCACGACACGTACGGCAGTTGTATATTGGAAGAGAAGGAAAATGACATCATGGTGTGCCAAAATACAGAATCCAATATACCGTGGTCACCTTGAGAAGATCGAGAAACGACAAATGTCGGATAGTGTGATGGTTATGGTTGTGTTAATGTGTCTCGGCACGTATCGGGCCACACGGGTGAAGTACCTACTACTAGGATTACATCTGTTTGTCTTTGTAGAATATATTTTATATAGTACCATGTATAGAAAATGTTATTGGTTTCTCTGATTTTCACAAAGACATAGCACGATGGAACCTTGTTCGTTTATGATCATCTGAAAACATGCGACGTAGATGGTTAGGAACTTTGCTTTGGATTAGTGTGAGTGTCATGATGTTAAATAAATATTGAGTGGCTGAATTGCTTGGGCCTCCGGCTTGACAGTGGAGTTGTTTGGTGTTTTGTGATAATGCAGCATCACAGATATGTATATATACTGTGGACAAGTGACTGTCAAGGAATATATTTTCGAGGAGGCTATAGACATTGCGCACTGCTTGTGTGTCTTCCTTTCGTGACAACAGCAGCGCTTTCGAAGACAGAGAATAATATTCGACTATGATGGTGATGAAGACATGTGATCAGAAGCAACGAAACAACCACGTACATGTGAAGATGGAGTCGGCGTCCTCGTCACGTGGTGCTTGGTTGACGTCAACAATGTCGTACAAATGTTTTGTGATTACTTTTTACCAGGGTCACGGTTTTGAGATGTAACTATTGTTTTTTGTGCAAACGATGTGTGATGAATAATTATATACACCTTACAATAGATGTGATCATTCATGCACTCATTATTTTACATCAATATACAAGTTATTACATAATAAAATGTACATTAATTACCCCGTAATGTTGAAAGAGGCTCTCAACCTGAGGGTGTCATTGCGAACTGAAGCAGGTTGATATATTGTGTGAAGAGTATTCAGCGTCAGCCTATAAAACTAGGAAGCGTTAAACCAAATCATTCACTCATTCAAAACCAGTAAATACTCTACAATCATGTACATATTGTTATCTTTTATATTAACAGTGCTTTTTATATGCAGTTATGCTCAAAACAAACGACCCTTACTTGGGACCTCTCGAGAATTTTTCTTATTTGGAACACGAGTCACTAGTGTACTTACATACTAACATGTATCGGTACAAAATCTCTTGTTGTGTGGTTGGTTTATTTTTCGGGTACATGTTTGTAGTTTTGAGTTTAAATGACCGTTTCTACAGAGACTATATTTTGGAGATTGACAGGAGTGGTCACATGTTGAGATGGACATGAGGATTACATTTATCACACATTTGTACGTGTTGGTTGTACCACAGCAAGGCAATAGTCAGTACCTGAAAAGTAATTTGAAGACAGAAGTAATGTTTCATTGTGATAAATATGATCCCCCATTTGGAAGTTATCAACTCCCTATGCCGGTCGGGAAACATTGTCATGTCCAATTAGCTGAGGCAAAATGAAAACATTTGCAATGTTCATTTGATTTCGTAGTGTCCGAAACTGGTGTGTTTATTGTCATGTACTCTTCGAATCATAATGACCTCATCATGACCTCATTGTGACCTTCAGTAGCCAACTGTACAGTTCAGTACCAAAACATGGGTAAAGGGATGATTCGACTGTGTAGCTTGATAAATAGTTGGTATATTTTCATAAATAACGTAGGTGACTTCAGGTCTGGTACACCCTGGTGTACGTCAGTGGAACACCAATCTCAATCCCGTTTCTCTCACATAGACTGATACCATTGGTCTAAGGTGCCGACCGGTATTCACTGTAAATAGTTACGTCCCTTGGTCATTCCAGGATCCGTTGAAAAACTGTCCAAGTACTAGACTAGCAAGTCGTATTGTTAATTATTGTGTTATGGTCACTTTGTTCAACCGGGCCTAACGGCTTGTGTTGGCTTTTGTGTGATTATATTGTTTTGGTTTAATCAAGACGATGATCCATATTGTATTTTTGTTATGAAAGATTCTTCTACTCGTCATATATCCAATCATTAATAAGCCAGAATATGACAGGCAATGGTCAACGCGGACTGTTAATTGAGACAGCACAGCCCTTGTTGACCACTGTCCAGTCATCCAGGTCAGTCCGTGTTTCCTACTTTCGGACTTTCCGAAGAGTGGTAACAGTTTGGTTTCTTTCATCGCAGACGTTTGAATTTCCATTTGTCCTATAGTATACACTCATATAGTGCAGTGGCTGATTATTGGTGCCGATATTTATGTGACATTGGTGTGACGTAGGAGCCGACATCAGTGTGACATCGGTGGGACATCAGTGTGACATCAGTGTGACATCGGTGTGACATCAGCGTGACATTGGTGTGACATTGGTGTGACATCAGTGTGACCTCGGTGTGACATCGGTGTGACATCAGTGTGACCTCGGTGTGACATCGGTGTGACATCAGCGTGACATTGGTGTGAGATCAGTGTGACCTCGGTGGGACATCAGCGTGACATTGGTGTGACATCAGTGTGACCTCGGTGGGACATCAGCGTGACATTGGTGTGACATCAGTGTGACCTCGGTATGACATCGGTGGGACATTGGTGTGACACAGGTGCCGACATCAGTGTGACATTGGTGTGACATCAGTGTGACATTGTTGTGACATTTGTGTGACATCAGTGTGACATCAGTGTGACATTATTGTGACAATGGTGTGACATTGGTGCTGACATCAGTGTGACATCAGTGCAAACATCCATGGAGTGGCGTAAAGCCAGCTTTGGGGTTGACCACTAAATACGGGTTCATATGTTATACGTTGATCACGGTTGATGAACATATGTTACAGGTAAATGTTGTACAACGTTTCCGCCACGACCAATAGTAAGTCACGTTGACAGCCTATACGTCAATCACTCTCCTAGTCAGCGAGCATGGTAGAAATAGATATTGATCATGTCGTACTCTCAACCTTCAAGGTCATCTAGGGGGCACGGGTGGCCCAGGCGTCTAAGGCGCCGCGATTCGCTGTGCAGAGTTGCGTCAGAAACCTATGATTGTGGATTCGAATCCCGGTTCGCCCCGATTATGTTTCTAGGTTTGTCAGCACCATACCCGTGCTCCTGTGTTTCACCGAAGTGGTAAACGCCTGAGACCTGCATCACTTCGGGCTTTCCTCCCACATTAAGCTGCCACACCGTGATATAACTGAAATACTGTTAAAAGCGGCGTAAAACCCAACTCACTCACTCACTCAAGGCCATCTTAAAGGGGCAGTCATCTTCTGATTACCTACGTACACAATCATGTTTGAAGCACCTTTAAAGTCAACCAGTGGGACATTTGCGTGCCCTGATGGTGACGCGGCATATTAAAGGTTACTTTTGTTCAAAGCACACTTCTATCAATCATGTTTATTTCACGTCCTTAGTCAACCATTTTCCAAGTCGATCATGTTGGCAGCATATTTCAGGGCTATTATGTCGAAAGTTCATGTGAAGACAATAAAGTAGAAAACGCAGTCAGGTCAGGTCGGGTAGCCTAGTGGTTAAAGCGTTCGCTCGTCACGCCGAATACCCGGGTTCGATTCCCGACATGGGTACAATGTGTGAAGCCCATTTCTGGTGTCCCCCGCCGTGATATTGCTTAAATATTGCTAGAAGCGGCGTAAAACCATACTCACTCACTCCATGTTACAGAATAAACATGACAATACGAGTATCGAAGTAAATGGGATTGTGGTCCACTTCGAGATAAACACTGTTTCGAGTTAATTGAGATGCGAGAACAGAGTGTATGACCTCGAACGTCACACACGGCAGTGCTAATGACGGGACATAGTCATTCTCGTCTGTTTAACAAACACTAATGTTCTTCAAATGTCTGTGACTGTATCTTGTTTCATGAATCTGTTGCTTCCGTTTTTTTACCATTCCATTCCATTTCGTCTTAGGCGCAGCAATTCGTTATGCAGAGTTGCGTCCCTTGGGTACGCCAGAAATCTATGATTGTGGATTTGAATCCCGGTTCGTCCCGATTATGTTCCTACGCTTGGCACTACCATACCCTTGGTCGTGGGTTTCATATAAGTGATAAACTCCCAAGACCTGCATCACTTCGGGTGACACGCCGTGATAGGATTAATGGCGAGGTTAAACCCAACTCACTCACTCCATTCCATTTGTGTTACCGATATGCGCCCCAGACATTGGCCTTTTGATTCCGTCAGTCTTTATAAGTGATAAAAATACACGTCAACTATCATAATACTCATCATTAGACAATTTAACCTTTTAAGGCAATGGTCTAAACACTGCCAGCCTTGAGGAACTCCAGCTAAAGTTAGGTCTTGATTTCAGATCACGTGACATGGGCAGGTTCAAATAGATTTCACTATACACAGCAAAACAAACCTCTATATATCCCCAATCGGGCGTGTAACCGAGACAGTACGGCCCCGATCGGGGATATATGGCACTTTATAAATTTATCTTATTGCAAGTCAGATTTGTATTCCCTTAATATTTCCACGTTGCACAGGAGTATATAGGTATGTAAATATGTAGATAGTGTATAAAGAACTCCACAAGACGGGACCAATACGTCCTACATCTTTATACAGTTCAGTTGAAGATTATTGTATGTTTGTTATTAGTGGCTGAACAATTGTTTGCTGACGTGCCAGTTGTATGTGTGTAATAAACTATTTCAAATCTTGTATTGCAGGTTTTGATGAAAAATCGTGGTTTGTTTGTGGATAGATGTACGTGCCCGAGTGCTGAACTTTTGGGAGAGTTATCAAAACACTCTTCGTCATACACATGCGACCCGTGAAGATCCTGGGTAGTATAGGTCTCAGCAACCCATGCCTGTCGTAAGAGGCGACTATGCTTGTTGTAAGAGGCGACTAACGGGATCGGCTGGTCAGGCTCGCAGACTTTGTTTAGACATTTCATCGTGTCCCAATTGCATAGATTGATGCTCATGATATCAATCACTGGATTGTTTGGTCCAGACTCTATTATCAACAGAACTACGTCATATAGCTGGAATGTTGGTGAATGCGGCGTTAAACAACAAACAAACAAACAAAAAAATCATAAACATGCGTTCACTCCGATAGTAAGCCCTGCTTGGATCACGCCATGATGGGAACTGTACATATACTACTCCCCCTTACTGATTTCCGTAAAATGTCAAGTGATATATCTGATATATCTCATTATCCCTGTAAAAAATTGTGTAGTATATATAGGACATTGCCTGATCAGCTGTCAGTCACTTTGCTTCCCACATTACTTCATACTGTATACAACGGGCACGGGTGGCCCAGTCGTCTAAGACGCCGCGATTCGCTGTGCTGAGTTGCGTCCCTTGGGCATGCCAGAAACCTATGATTGGTGGTTCGAATCCCGGTTCGCCCCAATTATGTTTCTAGGTTTCAGCACCATACCCGTGCTTGTGGGTTTCACCGAAGTGGTAAACGCCTAAGACCTGCATCACTTCGGGCTTTCCTCCCACATTAAGCTGACACACCGTGATATAACTGTAATACTGTTAAAAGCGGCGTTAAAGCCAACTCACTCACTCATTGTAAACAACGAGGCGATAACCGGACACAGATTTTCATCTCGACAAACCTAGTCTTGACGTTTATAAAACAGTCCACGGATGGTGATCAAATTACCATGGTAACCCCTTCTTTGACCAGTGCTTTCATTTGTTTCTAAATTTGCAGAAATCTTGTTAAAACACATTGTTATATTCCTTTTACGCATTCTCTCCTTAAACACTGCATTAATAACATCAGTGTTTCTTAATTTCCATTGTCACATTTCCGTATAAGAAAATCGTTCTCGAAATCATAGGGAAATCGCATACAAATGAATACGTTAACTCAAAGTCCTAATCCCTTGTTATCCGTACTTCGAGACTAAGAGAGTGATATTACAACAAAGTGCCGATCATGTTCTCGTCATGAACCATAACACTACGTCGTCTAAGTCGAATAAATGGCATTCGAGTTAACAAGCTTCCTCTGTATCTAGTCAAACTTCACTACATCCGTTTTTATCTCATGATATTTTAGCATCTGTTCTGTGTCATGCAGGGGCGATCGGGTAGTCTAGTGGTAAAAGCGTTCGCTCGTCACGCTGAAGATCCGGGTTCGATTCCCGACATGGGTACAATGTCGCCAAATGAAGCCCATTTCTGGTGTCCCCCGCCGTGAGTTTGCTGGAATATTGCTAAAATCGGCATAAAACCATATTCAGTCACTCACCCCTTTCAAATGTATCAGAAACATATGCCAGCAAAGTACTGATCAAATGAAATGGTACACCGTATCGAATAAAATCAGAATAGATGCATTGTTCGTAAAGATTATCATTATTCAATCGAGGTCCTAAAATATATTGTAAAAGTAACACCTTTCCAATAGTATATTATAACGTAATATGTATCGCAAGTACTTCTTTTATAAATGTTGTATTATACACATTACCAGCAACAAAGACTTCACACAAAGCACAAGACGTGTAAGAAAAAAGTGCTTGTAGTTCATGTATCCGTCCTCGGTGTTGTGAGAGCGACGTCGTGCAGTAGACGTGCTACTTTGGGCACAAACCCGGAATGCAAGCCTAATGATCGCGATCACGAACCACTCTGCTACACAACTACATTCACCTTGACGTTGAAGTTGACGTTGACCTTGACCACACGTACATGTTTATTTTCTGACTACTCAGACAACCCTAACAGTAAAATACCCATGCATGAAAATGCTTTTCTGTTTTAATTCTCATCCTACTGCAACGTCCTGACTTTGGAGACCGCCTCCGTGGTCTTGTGGTAGAGCGTCCGCCAGGGTTCGATCCCAGGCCGCGTCATACAAAAAGACGTTAAAAGATTGTACTTGTTGTTACCCTGTCTGGCGCTCGGCATTAAGGGGCTAAAACAAGGACTGGTCGGCTCGGAGTCAGTATACTGTGTCTGAGTGGGGTATTCATGTTAAACTGCGACATGGTATCTCAGTGAGCTAGCACAATAAATCGGCATCAGTCCGGACTAGTACAAGCAGCCACACACACCCATACACGTGCATGCACGTCGCTATATAAGTGCAATAATCTTGGACGCGACGTTAAACCCAATTTCACCTCACCTCACCTGACTTTGGAGCGTGGTCTCATCGTTATCCACAAAAGGAAAACAAGAAGCGATATTCTTCTGATCGTAAGACGTTTTTTCCGCATGTACCACGTGACAAACTACTGACGGGAAGGCTGCATCTGACCGAACGGTCTTCAAAATCGATCAGCGGTTATCGATTAATGAAACATGATTGAGGAGAATTATGGAAAGTTCTTGCCATATTTGCTGGGTCGATGATTGCGTGAAGCAAAATGGCAGTTCATGGTCATATTTCAACACCACGTTTGTCAGCGTAGGAATAACAAGCTTTGGGTCGCTACAGTGTTCCATCCTCCCTCCTGGAGGGATGTCAATATCCCCCTTTAGCCATCGCTAGATTAACGTAGTAGTAGGTGATGTTTCACACTCCACTGACTCAACACACACGTACCAGCCACGATGTATGTCACAATTAGTCGATGCATGTTTGGTATTTTGACGAAGTTAGGCGATAATTGATAATATAACATTACTAAATCTGAAACATTATCAGTAGTATGGTGTGTAATAACTTCATTGTTAAATTTAAGTCTTTAAAGGCATTTATAAGTGATATACACAAGGAACGGATTTTACGGATGTCAACTTCCTTATAAGGAACACCACGTTATTGAGTATATGCTTACTCCTTTATCAGGTGAATGAATGCTATGAGCCAGAGAGCACTCTTCGTTGTCCTTATCTGTACATATATATGATCTCTGCCTCATAGCATTCAATCACCTGATGAAGGAGTAAGTATATACTCCGAAACCTTGTGACATTCATATATTCTCTTCCTTTCATGGTTATAGCCTCCGTGTTATTTTCCGGGTTATTGTCTTCGGGGCGGTATGTCATGGTGTTTACTGGAATACATTGATATTGAGTCTTTTGATCGCAAATAAGGTCAGCTGTTTCATAGGATGTGA